CTTACATGCTCACAGCAGCATGTCTGTGGATACATTGACAGCAGCAAGTCTCGGTACTTGCTCTGCCGCCGCAGCAGCAGCATAGCAGATCTATTCCGCCAAGACTAAACACATTAGCATTGCCATGTATATTACCACGCTAAACTCTCAGAGAGTTGTGATGACAGAAATGAATGAATGAATTATATTTTAGATCACACTCTTGTGACAAATTGTAACATTTTACATTTTGCCAAATTTGTACAATCTCATTCATATGTTTTCGTACAATCTGCTTGCGTCCCACTGAGGGATAGGTTTAGGGGTACACCTTTATGTACAAATCAAATTTGCCACCAATTTGCCAAAACATAAAATAATTACGTTGAACAAGGGCTAGGAAAAGCAGTTGGGAAACAGGAGAAAGGGAGGTCAGTGTCAGCTTCCTCTTTAACATATATCATCACTTAGAGGGCAAACATTTGGATGGCAACAACACTTTTAGACCTACGGAATGGAAAAATGAAAGACAAACTGCAAATTACTTGAATCTATCTAAACCAAATAAGCAGTCAATTCAAAAGGCTTTTTAGAATTAACTATAATAAATCCACTGCATACATTTGTTAAGTGGCACCAGGATTTGAGCAGAGAAATCTTATAAGAATAAGCATCAGATGATAAATTCCTGGTGCATTATAGTTCACCAACATACAAAAGAAAAAAAGCATGTGCATCATCAGGATAGAGCTGCTGTGACATTGATGATGAATTCATTGTACTGCCTTCATTAAAAGTTGAGGGAAATGGTTCTGATTATTTTGGATTAAAAAAATACATCAACTGGGTTTTTGAGTGACTCACTATGAGTAAAGACAGGCATGGCTTTGGTGCTTCTAGGCATGAGTCACGTGTGAACGTGGCCTGCTGGGACCTGTCCGAGGATGTTGAATCGGTATCATGTAAGGGTGATTTCAGGCCATTTCCAAGGCCGTGGCCCCAGATGCCCACACCGAGGTAAATAAGGACATGGCAGATGATAATAAGCGACAGCTGCCTGAGGACACGTTCTCCTGTTTCATATCAATGCATGAATATAAGTGAAAGTCCTTTCTCACCGAGTTTGTATCTAAAAGCTGTTTCACATTAACAACACTGCTCTAAAGGCCCTAATCTGAAACAGCCATTTTCACGTCAGCATCATCAGGATAGAGCTGCTGTGACATTGATGATGAATTCATTGTACTGCCTTCATTAAAAGTTGAGGGAAATGGTTCTGATTATTTTGGATTAAAAAAATACATCAACTGGGTTTTTGAGTGACTCACTATGAGTAAAGACAGGCATGGCTTTGGTGCTTCTAGGCATGAGTCACGTGTGAACGTGGCCTGCTGGGACCTGTCCGAGGATGTTGAATCGGTATCATGTAAGGGTGATTTCAGGCCATTTCCAAGGCCGTGGCCCCAGATGCCCACACCGAGGTAAATAAGGACATGGCAGATGATAATAAGCGACAGCTGCCTGAGGACACGTTCTCCTGTTTCATATCAATGCATGAATATAAGTGAAAGTCCTTTCTCACCGAGTTTTAATCTAAAAGCTGTTTCACATTAACAACACTGCTCTGAAAAAAGGCCCTAAACTGAAACAGCCATTTTCACGTCAGAATGCATCATGAAGTTACACAGCTAAACCTCAACGTCTCTAATCGACACTCAGGCGCCACAAACCTAGCTGTTGTTCTGTTCCTTTTCATTTCCTCTGACACCTTTTACACTTAGGAGACAGGAGAGATGAAAACGTGTGCATCTTTAAATTAGAGAACGTCTGTACAAAGGACTATCCATTTCTTTTCTTGTCTAGATCCCATATGTTGTGCATTACAGGCTAATCACATCCAGACTTGGAGCCAGGGAATGTCACCACCTTGCTTTTGGTTTTATTTTCCATTGCAAGTTCTGCTCTCACAGGAACAATTATATGTGACTCACATTCCGCTGACTTCACTGAATAATTTCAGCAATTAATCTCGGAGTTAATGTCATAGATGGAATAGGAAGCAAAACATGACCTATGGTCACGAGTGGGGCTATAACAGTACTAGTCCCTGCGGTCACCCACCCAAAAGACAAACAAAAATGAATTTGACTTGGCCGTTTGTGTCGGTTCAGGTCTGAGTTTGTTGGCTGTTTTGCTCAAGTATGACCTTTTGTTCTGTAAATTCAGTCACATCCAGAACACATAATTTTATTGACGTGAAAATGCATCAAAAACAACACATGGGATATTGGGTAATTGGAAGCACTCAAGCGAGCAGAGATTATGGTTTTGGAGGGAAAACTTTTCCATGAATAAACCTTTTAGAAGTCCAAAATAAACCCATCACTCTTGAATCTCTAGTAAAACTGAGAATACCTGAAGATGGGCCTTCCCATCCAATAGATGTAGGAGAGAGTCTCCCAAGTTCAAGTCTATCCCATGATTCTAACACAACCCTCAAGTGTATACATTATGAGAGATAAAGTGACTGAGGTAAACATTGTTTAACAGAACTATTATTGAAGGAATTGTTCACTCACAACGAAAAAATCAACCATTTTAATTTTAATGGTGCTTTTACATCCTTTGGATTGACCCAAATTCCCATTCCCTTTTGTTACTTTGAAAGCGGTAGCCATGATTTTTTTTTGTGTTCCAATAAAAGTCATGTAGGTTTAAAACAACACAAGAGTGATTTTAAAATTAGTGATTTTTGGGGTGAATTATTCACTTAATTCTTCAGAAATATGCTGATGTTATTTTTATTTTAAAATATGAAGACATTCACTCTTATTGTGTTAAGCGACTGTTTCTTGTCACGTAGGGTTAAATGATTCAGTCTATATTTCAATTCAAAATTGCTAAATTTGACATAAGAAGTTGAGTAGTTTGTGCCACTGGATAATTGGTCATGTAACACTATAAAACAGCTGTTAAATATTAAATGTTTAGCTAATTACATCTTACCTCACACTCTTTCACCATTAAAAACGTATAATTATTTGATTAGTCTCAATCATTTGGATATTGACAAGTGCTGTTAGACTGGTGAGGCGGACCAGACTAAACATTTGCATTTTTAAACGTTTTGTCATCCAAACAACAAAGAGTGCAAGAATATCAAATATTAGTGTCTAGTTTTGATTATTGGGGGAACTTGTCCCTCTCAAAGTCTACTGGTTGTTATGGCGCTGTGATATACAAAACAAGCTGGGATAGACATTGAAAAGCACTTCTGTGAATTCTTTGGATGCAGCTGAAACTTTGAAAAAAACCTGAAACCGAAGGTCAGGGTCTTTGGCTAGGGATGTTGCAGTTGACAAAGTGTTGAGGACAGGAGGTTTTACACGGTCCATGGGTCAGCTGAATCTGCAGAAACTATTTTGGGGTAATGTTTGGAGAAAACAGCACAAAGGAAACCAGAAGTTTTGCAAATATGCATTGCAAATGTGCCAGTGCTTGGTTTTATAGGATCAAGACCAAGCGACTGTTTCTTGTCACGTAGGGTTAAATGATTCAGTCTATATTTCAATTCAAAATTGCTAAATTTGACATAAGAAGTTGAGTAGTTTGTGCCACTGGATAATTGGTCATGTAACACTATAAAACAGCTGTTAAATATTAAATGTTTAGCTAATTACATCTTACCTCACACTCTTTCACCATTAAAAACGTATAATTATTTGATTAGTCTCAATCATTTGGATATTGACAAGTGCTGTTAGACTGGTGAGGCGGACCAGACTAAACATTTGCATTTTTAAACGTTTTGTCATCCAAACAACAAAGAGTGCAAGAATATCAAATATTAGTGTCTAGTTTTGATTATTGGGGGAACTTGTCCCTCTCAAAGTCTACTGGTTGTTATGGCGCTGTGATATACAAAACAAGCTGGGATAGACATTGAAAAGCACTTCTGTGAATTCTTTGGATGCAGCTGAAACTTTGAAAAAAACCTGAAACCGAAGGTCAGGGTCTTTGGCTAGGGATGTTGCAGTTGACAAAGTGTTGAGGACAGGAGGTTTTACACGGTCCATGGGTCAGCTGAATCTGCAGAAACTATTTTGGGGTAATGTTTGGAGAAAACAGCACAAAGGAAACCAGAAACTGGCATTGCAAATATGCCAGTGCTTGGTTTTATAGGATCAAGACCCTGGAAACAGTGAAGGAGAATATGCTGGCAGCATGTACAGAGCAGTCATTTCCAGTTCATTCTCCTCTCTCTTTCACTCACTGTATGTCCTTTTTACCTAATAATGTCTTCGAGTTTGGTGGTCTCATAAAATAAATGAATAAATAAATAAATAATAAAAATCAGACGTGAGACTATAGAAAGCCAAACAATGGCTCATGCATCTTTAAAGTCCCTCTGATTCTTTAAAATCAGACAGAAAACATGACCTTATTTCTATTTAAAATGCAGCCATAAATGTTTTTAAAAGTCATTTTATGATCATATGTTTAATGTTTCTATTTTGTGCCTTTAAATAAATTATTAATACAAAATCATTGTAGATGTGATTAAGTGATTATCTGTATACAAATATTAAAATTAAATAATAGACTAATAAAAATGAATGGGATTTATTGATTAAAAAATATGAGTTTGTATACAGTACAGCTCTTTTGTTTACACTAAGACCCACTGTGCATTACAATAGACAACAAATTTATAAATAATTTTTAATATGATCCTTTTAGGCTTCACTTTAAAATAGTCAAACTCGTATTTGTGTTGTTTAAAGATTCGTATGTATAATAGGTTCATTTAAATTGGTTAACTGAAACGCTCAGGAGGAACTCCAGGCTGTGATTAAATTCATGGTAAGGAGAAATGAAGTTTCGTAATCAAGAGTCGAAGTAGTGCCACACATCACGCGAGAGCGCCAGAGAGACGTGCCGGAGAAGAGGCGTGGCCAGATAAAATAACCCCGCCCACTCCACCAGGAAGACTGCGCGAGTTTTTTATAAAGGAAAGGATATGCGCACAAGTTTTGGCAGGACAGAGGGGGCTCTCTGCGGGGCAGAACTATATCAAAGACCCTTCAAACACAGGAATACTCCCACCGTAACTTAACAAACCATCTGTTTGTCAACAGGTATTCTCGACAACCCCCGATTCGACAATGACTGCGACTGTTGTGTCCTCCTTCGACTACGAAGTGACGAATAAGGTAATTTATATTTTTGGGAAGTAGCTTTAAGCATTTTACCAGTCTAAATGAGTGACTAACAGAGCAATATCTCATAAACGTAATACACAAAAGGTAGCAATTGTCTGAGATGCTGTTTTCTGCACCAATGTCAAACTTTTCTGGCTTATGCGCGCGCGCGTGTTAGAGAAGGACGAGAATCTTGCTTGTGTAGCCTACTTTTATCAAGTCTTGTGTCTCTCTGCGGTTATCGGTTGCTAATCGATTAGGAAAGAATAAGGAAAGCTAATACACCAGAATAGTTTAATTCATCTGCGTTTATGCGTCACATAAAGTTGTGCATTATTTGCCGTCTATTCGACTGCACACAACAGGGAGGAAGGCCACAAGTCTAGGTTTCATTTGATTACCGAGTTCTCTATTATGCGAAACATGTTTGGGCTAGACTTCAACTTTTAATAATTAACCTTTCTTAACCACAGTAGGTTTAACCTAAAATGAACAGCACTTTTGTTTGATTTATCGCATGTCAGTGTGTTTTAAAATAATCTATAGGTCAGTTGTGAGCATATAAAGGTATCCATAAGCAATGCACATTGTACTGTGTGAACATGCAGCTTGACTGTGACGCTTTGAGGGGCGTTCACGCAGGACGCGTTCTTGCATTAAAACGCAGCTGGACGAAATGAAACTGAACACAAGGGGCAAGACGATAATGATCTTTAAAAAAGCATCATATGACCCCTTTAAAACTTAAACCGATGCTGAAAGGATTGTTTGCCCCAAACTTACAAACAGTTTACTCACCCATGCCATTCCAATGCAGTGCTATTTTCTTTCTTCCAGGAAACACAAAAGGGAAATTGTGTTTTGATTTAATGAAAGGGGATGGTGGTGTTTAAACGTCTAGCCTCAAAAAAAGTATCATAAATGTAGTTTATATGACTTGTGAGCAATATTTTGAGTCTGTCTGAAGCCGTATGATTGCTGTGTGAGGAACAGACTAAAAACTTGGGAGTCATTATTGCCATCAAAATTATGGGCTAATTTTCATTTTTGGGTGAACTAACCCTTTAATCTTACCCTTAGACGTCATTAAATGTAAACGTTGCGTCGCTATCACGTGACATACGAGAGCCAATAGTGTTCAATGATATCAACCCTATAATGCCCTGCCATATTTTAATAGAATCAACTGCTAATTATATTTGAGAGCTATTACTGATGGGAATATTATCAGTCAGTAACGACTTTAAATTCTCACACAGTTCTGTCATTTGACCTAAATAGAATTGGAATATTGCTCACTATTCAGCATGGAATTTCATGGACAAGTAAATGACAAAATAGTTTTGGTTGAACTATATTGCCATAAAACTTGAAAAACCACCTGACACTTGTTAAACTTGTTGAATATTTGATTTGAAAAAAAAGAAGATACAACACAATGGCCAAATTTGTCCATCAAACATGTGTTGTCTATCATAAAACATGGTGTTCTTATCCCCAATACATAGGCTATATTTTATTACTATACTGTATTTTCCCTTTACATTTTTACAAAGCCAAATAATTTATGAGGTTTTGCAACTTTAATAAAGTAAAATATGGGAAAAAAGTGTTCCGTAGTTACTGGTCGTGCAATAAATCATCAGTTACTGGAGATGATACATGAATATAGTGTGTTTTCATCTTTTATGACTTAATAAACCTTTCACTTTTTAAGAGATTGCCGGGTAGGTTAAAAGTGCAGGATCATTAGTGTTATCTCTTAAAAATATGCCTTAAAGCAAAACTGAATCCAGGCCCTAGACCTGAACTGAAGACAGAAAATACCATCAACATGTAATAAACTCCCACTGGTGGTATCTGGAGCAAAGTGAGTCATAGTCATGCCACATTTTTGAGACATTGTTTTGTTTACTTCATTTTCAGAACAATAAGGTGATGAGCTACAACAATCCCCTCTCCAGTCCCCATTTACAGTCTGTCCCCACCACCGGTGCCAATACCCCCTTTACCCCCACCGGGTCCCTGCTGGACAGGAAGGTGGTGGGTACCCCTTCAGTGGGACTCTACCAGCGTCGCCACTCCGTGTCCTTTACCAGTTCCAAATCAATGCAGAACCAATTTATCAACAGTCTCAAGATGGACGGCTCCTCTTCCATGAACGGGAACAGCAACAACAAGGAGAACCACTTCCGCGACCGGTCCTACTCTGAAACCGGGGAGCGTCTAAGGTCGAACAGCATCACGTGCATTAGTGCCAACGGAAACAGCCAGGTCAACTCAAGCCGCTATAAGACCGAACTCTGCAGACCCTTCGAGGAGAATGGCACTTGCAAATATGGTGACAAGTGCCAGTTTGCCCATGGGATGCACGAGCTTCGTAGTCTAAATCGCCACCCCAAGTACAAGACCGAGCTCTGTCGCACCTTCCACAGCATTGGTTACTGCCCATACGGGCCGCGCTGTCACTTCATCCACAATGCAGAGGAGCGCTGCGGACCCCCTCCTCTCTCCGCCTTCAACAAGATGGAGCGCCCCCGCCTTCATCATAGCTACAGTTTTGCCGGTTTCACAAGCTCAGGTGGCTCCCAGGACAGCCCGACCTCTGTCACACCTCCGCCCATATTTTCCACCGAAGACGTCAACGAGTGGCCCAGCAACCCTTTCACTTACTCGAGTCAAGAGCTTGCCAACCTGTTTGGGCCCAGTTTAGGTGGCACCACTGTTCCTGATCTGCCCGGTCCTCACTCTCCCACCGCACCCTCCTTCTTCAGGCCAATGTCCGAGTCGCCCCCAAGCCCTCCGGATTCCCTCTCCGACCAGGAGAGTTACCAGAGCAGCCTGGGCAGCCAGAGCGGATCCGAGTCACCTGTGCTGGACGCCACACGTCGCCTCCCCATCTTCAGCAGACTCTCCATCTCTGATGATTAAAACGTGCCCTCAGAGATTTCAGGCCTGAGAGAGAGAAAGCACAGAGAGCTGGCGAGAAAGAGAGTCATTTTCCTCCTAGCAATCCCTTCCTGTCTTTGTGTTGTTTACAGCGGAGAAGTGGACTAAAGTACAGTGTTCTCGTAACCACTGAGTCAAATCAGAAAACCTACTACCCTCTAGCATCAACCTTGAGCGTATTCCCAAGCCTCCCTAGACGTCTTTAACATGCCTGATGTAATGCAAAAACAACAAACTGTTCCCCTCAAGGCCCACTCAAATGTTGAGGTCTCGGAAGTCCTCACTGGAACATGTTAAACAAATCCATATTTAGTTCATAGTGTTCAAACTGAAAAGCAGAGTTTTCTTCTTGTTCAAAGAATCTACTGATTATAGCAACAATGTGCTTTATAGACCTGGAAGTGCCACTTTTCTCGCAGAAGACCCGGTAGATCGTCTGGACTTAAAGTGCCTATCAAACAATTAGTTTCCTACTTTTTCGGTCACGTTGATTTTGGGGTAGAAAAGATTTAAAGGAAAAGAATCAAACCCATCTTAGATTTGTATGAATCATTCTGAAAGATATTTGTACATCCAGTGGTGCTAAATGTGCTGTCACCGTGATAATTATCCCTAGAACATGTGATCCCTTACGCTAAAATAGTGTGTTCTGGTTGTTGGAGAGAATATTTGTGCGAGAAGATGTCCGTCCTGTTCATGTTACCACTAAAGATGTGACTTGAGTGGCCACTAATTGTTTCGTTGCAAACAGATCGTTGAAATGTTCTATCATTAATTCAATATTGTATTTCCCCTATTATTGTTATAATATAGTTATTATTGCATCATTACAACTATTGTTGGTATTTTCTGTTTGGAAATGAGAACTTTCAACCTGAAAGTTTTGCTTGCCAGTGCTTATTTAACTTATCAAAATGTATTTATTGCTGATTGTAAGCATTTTTTTTAATTTTGTTTGTATTTATCTGGATAATGAAACAATAGAATATATTTTCCTTTATGTTAAATTATGATCTTCCGTATTAATCGTAAGATTGTGAAGACCTTTTTTTCGTTAAGTTTCAACAGTTAATATATTATACTGCAATGACATTTTGTAACTGCATTTTGATTTATTTTTTTCAAGTGAAACTTAATTTAAAATGAGAATGCAAAGAGGAGTGTTTTGCATTTTATTTATTATTTTTCTCCCTAATGTTGGACTGCAATTTCAGGATGTTTATGCCTCTATAATCCTTTATTATTTGGCTCTGACCGTCTAGAATGTAAACCGAGTTGTCTTGACATAACAGTCCTGTGCCTGTGATTTTATAAATCCAATGTTTAGACTGGGATCCTCTCATTAAGACTTCTTTTGGTATGAACAAATTGCAGACAATAAATGCATTACAGTACCAATCTCATGAACCTCGCGGTGGTCCAAACCTCTGATCGCAGCATTTTGATCTAAATGGACGGTTAATAAGGGAATTGTGAAATATGCATTCATGTATTTATTTTGCCCATTTTGAAACCATATTATGTGCACCAGCAAGCATGTTTTGTTTTGATTTGTTATGACTCAAAATTCATATTTATTTACAAATTTTGGATCACCTCTACTTGTTAAGTGCCTGACAGTGCATTCCAAGAGTCTTGAACCTTTTAGAATTGTAATCCAGTCGTTATATAGATTTTAGTTGAAATTCGAGGTTAACAGGATTGACATTAAGAGAGCTACAGTTGAATGTGTCCTATGTTAGCAGCTACTGCTGTTCACATCAATATGTTTCTTTTGTAATGACAGATTGCAGTTTAAATCAATAAAATACCTATTTATAAGCAAACTGACCTTGTCTTTTTTTTTTTTTTTTTTGGCTCAAAACGGTTTCAAAATCCGTTTTTTTTAAGTTCATCATAGCAAGGCCACTGGCTCTGATACTCAACTCTAATGCAAACAGCTGTGCTTATTATTTCATGCCATATTTTGAAATTTTTACCTGGAGAAATTCGTATTCTTCCACAAACTTGCATTCCACACTGATTCCAATACAGCTGAACACTACGAGACAGGTGGCTGCTAATGAACCAGCTGGAAAGCTCAAACTGTTTTCCTGGAAAAGTGCTCAAACACAGGAAATCAAAATGATGTCCCGGTCCAATAGTAAGGATGTGAAAAGCCCCTTAACTATGTATTTTTCTGGCATGGATGTCTATGGCTTTTTGAATCTCATTTAAATGTACTGGCAATGACGGGACTACTAGATAGAAAGCACAGGCCCCTTGAGAACAGACAGTTTGTTACTGTAGTAACAGTCAGGAGGGGTCTTGTGCTGGGACTAGCAGTCTACAGTACATGTTTGCTCCCGACGTCACTGAACAAGCACCCATGCTCTGCAAACACAGTCAGTCGTTGCTTGGTTTTAGTTTAATTTCCCTTAGAGAGAGAATTCCTGAGGAAAGCTGTGATCATTAATACAATCATAGCAGATAGGAGCCAGATGGCCATCTGAGTAGTACAAAGTTCAGCATTTCCATTGCTTTAGCCTTTGGTCTTAAAAGAAACAGTTCACCCAAAATGGAAAATCGTGTTGTTATTTGCTAACCAATTTTTACTAGTTTCCATTGATTAAAAATTAGCTTTTACTCTACTGTTCATAATAAGATTTTTAAAAAGAAATGTAGCACTTTCAATTTAGCAAGGATGCAATAAATGGATCAAAAGTAACAGTAAAGACTTTTAGATTAATATATTTCAAAGAAATGCTGTTCTTGTATCACAGTTTCCTCACACAAACAAGTAGCATCTGTTTTCAACATTGATCATAAGACATATTTCATGAGCACCAAATCTGCATATTAGAATGATTTCTGAAGGATCATGTGACTGAAGTAATGATGCTGAAAATTCAGCTTTGCATCACATGAATTACATTTGAAAATATATTAAAATATAAAACAGGTATTTTAAAATTTGATAATGTTTTACAAAATTAGTTTTTACTGTAAGAAAAAAAAATTGAATAAAAAATAGGGTGAAAATAAAATAAAATTTGACATTATTACTGTTCATTCTGCTTAAAGACTAGTCATATGAAATTATCATGTAATTATATTTTACTCAATGTTTTTTTTATTATTAATATATTTACTATATAAATGGGTCTTTATACACAGAAATATAAACAGTAGCTGCCTTTATTATTTTAGGAAGGGGATGATAATATTTTGGGGGTCTGTGGATTCATAAAGTTTGAAAACCCCTGCTTGTATTATAGGACTGTCATTGGATCTCTTTTTCATGAGGGAGATAATGACGACATAAAATTAATTTTTAGGTGAAGTCTTTAAAAAGTTAGGTAGCAAAGCATAACAGCAATCCAGTATTTGGATTTGTCATTTTAGGGAAAAGTGCTGTAATTGTTAGTTATTCTGTCAAGAACACACAGTTAGTGTCCATTCGCACCAGGGCTGTGGGTCACTGGGCCTTTAAAGGGGTCATATGATGCGATTTAAATTGTTCCTTTCTCTTTGAAGTGTTACAAGCTCTTGAAGAAGAAGATCTGTAAAGTTGCAAAGACTAAAGTCTCAAATTCAAAGAGATATTCTTTATAAAAGTTAAGAGTCAACCACGCCTACCTAAAACGGCTCGTTCTAACACGCCCCCACATGTCTACGTCACGATGTGGG